TGGTCCCACCTGGTCCCACCTGGTTCCCCCCTGATCCCCACCTGGTCCCACCTGGTCCCCATCTAATCCCACCTGGTCCCACCTGGTCTTCACCTGGTCAACTCCAACATCTGCTTTTTATTTGTGTTTCATTTGATAGTGACAATGTATTTCTTGGTGGCTGTTTATCTTATAAAATCTCGGTTTTAGCTAAACTGTGTGGAGGCCCTGAGCTCCGTAGCTCTGTGACTCTCTCTCTCATCATATACTCCTGTTCTCACCTGGGCATTCTTATGGCTCCAGATTTCCGATATCCCTGGCTCACGGATGTGTTTGGACTTGGTGCCTGAACAGACGTGAGGCTGGTGGGGCGTCACCCGCCTTCTGTTCCCAGCCGTTTGTCTATGCTTGTATGGTAGAATCATTCATCAGCAAAGAGGAGTGTTTCCATCGGATTGACCTAATCTGCGAGTGCATAAAAGGAGATAAAATGACGTTTTAATTCTGTCATTTAGACTGCGGGCTGGTCCCCTCATTGCGGAGATGACACCCAGCCCGTGTGGTTTCCTCGCGAGTGTACTGCGGGGTGAACTGCAGGTTCACACGGGCTTATTGTGCGTTAGCCCTGCCATTGGTTCGTGTCGAAGAGAGGAAGGGCGCCGGGTCTGTGAAGCCAGCGATGAGCCAACTGTTCTCTGTTTCTTGTCTAGAGAGCGGGAGACGGCTGCAGAGACCCCCCGGACTACTGGACGATCCACGGGCTGTGGTGAGTACTCGCTGCGGGAACCACACGGGCCAGCGGCCGCCCTCCGGAGACAAGCGCGTCTGGTTCTGAGATGTTGCGGGGAGTTCATTCTACGAGGCCCTGTGGTTCAGTCCGTAGACCAGCTCCTCGTTGGAAAGACTGTTGGAGTTCCTGACATGACCCTAATCCTGCTGTGTCGTTCCGTTCTGATAGAGCAGTAATAGTCTAGGCCAGTGGTCGGCAAACTCATTAGTCAACGGAGCCAAATATCAACAGTACAATGATTGAAATTTCTTTTGAGAGCCAAATTTTTTAAACTTAAACTATATAGGTAGGTACATTGTTATTAACTTAATTAGGGTACTCCTAAGGCTTAGGAAGAGCCACACTCAAGGGGCCAAAGAGCCGCATGTGGCTCGCGAGCCGCAGTTTGCCAACCACGGGTCTAGGCCAAATATGCGCTTGGGGACTCTGAGTGTATGTTAGGGTTATTGAGTTTTACTTCCCTCATTTGGGGGCAGTAAGTCTAACATGAATATAAACTATATCCATGATCTATGCTAGCGACCCCTCACAGCCGCCCAGACCGATTTCCTGGTTCTGCCGGCATTTTGTGTAGTTCCCTCTTTGGCTGTTTGTGCACGGATTTGCGCTGCAGTTTGCACACACGGCCCCGCTGCTCAGCGGAGAGGAGCCCTTCGGTTTTGCTGTGCTCGTGTCCCTCGTGTCCCTCGGCGTGGGGTCA